CTTCACAGAGCTTCAAGTTTAGAGTGGAAGATGAATGTCATAGTCTCCCTTATGTCTGAAAACTATTTAAAACTTTGGGCTGCATAGCCCAAACGTAACCTCTGCAGTTCTTCAAAGCATGAGTCTTCCAGACAGCCACAAGCCCAGCTCTATAGGAAGGCAAGCCAGGCCTCAAGGATAGAGAGGTTAGGCGTGAAGGGCTGATATGAACTGTGATCAATAGAACACATGGCCAGAATCTCCAAACTCTTTTCTTGAAGCCTCCCTTACCTTTGGGAGGCTGGCCAGCACAGTCAGGTGCGAAAACGCTCTCTCATGGGTCTGGGAGATGGTTTTGTTTGCAGGCCCCCTTACAGTACCAACTACCATTGCAGCACTGGCTACTGCTTTCTTAATAGGAGGCAGAAGACAAAAATGTAAGAAATTAGGTTTTCCTTGGATATGGTGGTGATGGGGTAGCTATGCAGTTAAGGCAGACCTCTGTTCCTAGGCCCATCCAGCCCTTCTGTTCTCTCTCCTCTGCCTGCATGTATGTCTCTTATCCCATGATTCCTTTCTGTATTTATTTTAGGTTTAACATTTAAAATTTTTCCAGTGTGTCACAAGGGACCTCCCAAGGGGCATGTCTTCCCCTGGGAAGTCTGTGTATGATTTTAAATCCTTTTGTTTCCTTCCTGCTAGGTGTTTTCCAGATTGCACATATAGGCGATATGTTCTGATTATAAGCTGTATAGCAAGCAGTCTTGTAAGAATTCTGAAGTGACTGCTCAGGATAAATGATGCCTCCAAGGAAGAAAGAGGTAACCAGGACTCCCTCTTGCTCAGTCCTACTTACCTGTAGGAGTTTCTGGCCGAACAGTGTGACTCCAGCTCTGGAGGAGGTAAAACGGTGTTGTGTTTCTAGAATGTGGCAAGGACAGTGCATCTTATTGCCTTTCTCGCTCAGCAACAGACCGAGAGCAAAAAATAACCCCAGACTTAAAGAGCCGAGATGTGTGAATACAAGGTGCTGGGAATAAGTGTATGTTCTCTTCAAAGTAGAACCTCTCTGAAAGCATTATTAAAACCTTTCTCTCCTCTTCATGGTGACTTATACCAACACCCTTGAAAGTAAACAGGATGATTATTGCTAACAACATTATGATCTTCTTAGAAATCAGATGTTTGCTGCACTGAGTTGCTCTTTCACCTTTAAAAACAGTAAGGCAGTTCTCAAGGCTTATAGTCCTACCATCTTATCCAGTCATTTTTAAAAAGTGGGATTTGATGGCAAGTAAGTATTTTCAATTTAGAACTGGGAAAACTAAGGGGACACTAGAGACTGAAGCTGGGGCAGAACTGGAAATGTGACTCAACTGCCTACCTTTTCAATGACATTTTCTGTCTCTGGGGTCCTCCTTCCTCTGGATCATAACGGGCCGACTGGAAAACACATCCATTTGTTTCAAATAGCTAGCTAGACACCCTCTGTCCCTACTGAAGTGAGTTTTCCTGGCAGAAGGGACGTATGGATGCTGCAATGAGAATCTTCCAATATGCAGCTCTTGGTGGTTCAGGAGCCAAGAAGATACCAGCAGCAGCACCGTGGACTTGGCCCTGGTGCTGACTACCCAGGACGTTCCTTCTGATTCCTTCTCCCATATGAAATATTACACATAGTGTCACAGGCCCTAGTTTTCCCCAAAATCACAGCAGAGGTAACACCTTAGTTCCAAAATTACATCACCATGAAAACAAAACGCTGAAGTCTATTTGAGATCATTTTCATTCTCATTAAAATTTTTATTGAAATCTCTCAAATGTTGCCAAGAAATAGTTTTTGTAAAGGGGGGTTGGGGGGGAATAGCTAACAAGCACATTCAACAAGGGAGCTCCCTCTGCTGGTCTGTAGTAGGTTGATATGTTACAAACACATTCCCAGAGACAAATCTAATTTGCTGGAGAAGTGGACAAAAGACAGGTGTGTTGGGCTTTGCCTCAGGAGAGAAACACTAGAAGAAAAAAAAAAATCCATGTCTCAAAACAAAGCACAACATTGCTAAGAAAAGCAAAATTATTTAGACGTTTGTCCAAGGATACAAGAATTCCTGAAACAAAACTGAATTATCCACTAAGGGGAGATGCTGCATTTTGGCCTTCCCACTCTGCTCTACCTCCAATTAGTAAAATCCTCTTAGGCCCTTTGGGTGAAGATAAGTGCTTTTTCCCTTGTCTTTGCCTCCAAGACTCTACTTATGGCTTCTCAGCTAGTTAGAGAAGAAAGATCCATGGAGTCACTGGAATGAAGTCTTTCCACAATTCCAGTAAAGAGTAAGTCTTTGGTTAGCCCGTCCCATAGAGTGGAAAGAGCAAGGGCAGAGAGTCAGGTGACTTGGGTCTAGTCATGGCAGAGGCACTGGTGCCTTTGGATAATGCTTGCCATCCTCTAAGGTCTGCTTCCTTCTCTGTAAAGTGGGTCAGACCAGCTGGTATAAGTTCACTCAGTGATGTCTATATTCGATAGATAATTTTATATAAACTGCATTTGCTCTTGAGTCTATAGCATATCAAACCCAAGGCTGCACAGGGAATATGCCAAGTGAGAAGTGAGTCAGCACATGGATCTCACTTCTATCAGAGCAGAGTGCCACCAAATCTAGGACAGGTGTGACAAAGCCAAGTGGGTTCCAGGTTGAGAAAACCTTAGGATCAAGGAAGAACTCAACAGGTGAGGGCCTCACCATTGTGAATGCATCCCATTAACTCAGATGGTTGAGTCCATCTAATCTTGGCATCTAATCTTGTTTCTCCCTATCCTTCTTCACAATGAGAGGCTTTCTGATGTCGTAGGTTCTGTAGTCTTTATCCCCAGAATTATGCCTGATTTCATCCACTACAGGATTGCACCAAGGGCTAATTACCCATGTCATGTCCAAAAGCCACAGTTCCCAGATCCTACTGATCATTGCTAACTCTTGATTATCCAGGGTGATGGTGAAAGGCTTTGATGCTGATTAACCAAAGCCATGGATAGTCAAAAGAATGCAAACTTAGAACTGTTTCACAATATTTATTACAATCTGCCTTAACCACCTCTTGCTCTCCATTATACAGGTAGTCCTTGACTTAAAGATGTGTATCTGAGTCATGACATACCACACTGATCTTTTTTCTTTTTTTGGTATGTTTTATCATTAGTAACATGTTACAGTGCATAATTTGCTCCTGTTATCTTTCTCAGATGTTCACTCACAGATGTTCAATTTTATGATTTACTATTAAAAAAAAAAAAAAAGTGCACTGAACACTTTCCCTTGTTACCCTCCCGAGAGGGACCGGGTCTCCGGGAGCAAGGTAAGCACGGGCAGGCTTGTGCTTACTCACTGATCTGCACTGAACACTTTCCCTTGTTACCCTCCCGACAGGGACCGGGTCTCCGGGAGCAAGGTGTGCATGGGGTCACTATGAGTCGGAAACGACTCGACGGCACTTAACAACAACTAACAACATTCAAAACAGGGAGCTCTGGTAGCACAGTGGCTAAGGCACTTGACTGCTAACCAGAAGGCTGGTGGTTCAAACCCACCAGCCACTCCTTGGAAGGAAGATGGGGTAATCTACTTCCATAGTGATACTGCCTCGGAAACCCAAGGAGGGGTCACTATGAGTTGGGTCCAACTCGACGGCACATAACAACAACAACAACATTCAAAACACAGCCAGATTTATAGATACTGATAACAACAGGCAATAATAATGAAAACTAAGGGAAAAAAAAAAAAGGTATGCGACTTACATCAGAACTGACTTATGACAGAGCTGTCAGAATGGAAACCCGTCGTGAGTTGGGGACTACCTGTATTTAGTTTATGGGAAAAGAAACTGCGTACTCTAGCAAGAACAGAGGAATAGAGGAGAGACATCATTCATAGAAAAAGGAAAGGATGGGGTGCGGGGACAGACAGAAAAGGGCTGTGAGTTGTTCCAGGTCATCTACAGAGTTATCTCTGGCCCAGCACGGACATACAGAGAACTCAGCAGACCATTTCCAGGCTTCTGTCTCATGCCCTCTCCCCTCCCCTGCTATTTGACAATGCAAGGGCTACCAAGCAGTGACACAGACAAAAGGTGGAAAGAAAAGCAAAATGCACAGCTAATCTAGAAACTGGGTGATCAGTCTCAGAATAACCCAGGGGTAACCTAGTTACAGCTACTGCGCTAAGCATTCTAACCATTACCATTAACAGTTTTCTTCACAAAGGTACTACTTTCTACTTCTTTCTCCCAACATGAAGGGTAATCACTACTGGGGCCCAAGGCACCAAGACCTTCTCTTGGACTCTGTTTGCCTTCACTGTGCCTAGGAAGCCAGGTCATCAGGCTCAAAGCCTTGACAACTCAGCTGGAAGAGAATGGAAGGTTGCTGAGCCCATATCACTCCTGACCCCAGTGGCTTCTGAGAACCTTCACTGGGGGCTGTTCTATTCATAGGTTCTTAACCAACACAGTGTGCTTTGTACAACATGAAGGAGTTTTAAGCCAGCAGGGAAAGTTTTCTGGGATGCTGTTCGTTTCATTCAGCCTTGAAAATAAACACCAAGCAAAACAAAATAAACAAGAAAGCTCACCTGTCTAGCCCAACAATTTTTTTGAAAAACCAGCCTTCCCTACTTAGAGGCATTACATACTCAGTGAAACAAATGAAATCCGTATTCTTTCTATCTTCTTTGGTATTGATCATCACTCTTTGCAGGACAAAGAATGAATGGTTAATTTCAAAGTTGAATCATAACATCAATCACTACTACTTACACAAAAAGTAAAGCAAAGAGAAATATTTCTTCAAAGGGAGAGAAAGGGTTAGTAGATAGACAGTTATCTTTATGGAGAAACAAGGGAGTTTGTTTATAAAACTCAGGCTACTCTTATCCAAGAAAGAAGGCCAGTCAGAACAGTGATCTCTACCTTGACCTGTAATTACATTCTAGACACTATGTTGTACCTCTTCCTCTGCAGGCTTTCCTTAAAATTGAAAGACACCATCACCCTTAATTGTTCCTACTCCCTACGTAAGGCATCAGAGCATCTTACTCCTCAAAGCTCCAAACTCTCCCCTTCGGTCACTAGATCCTCACAGAACACGAAAGCAGGAATCTTTCAATACACAGAGACACACACGACTCTTGCTGCAAGTACACGCCTCCCCTGCAGCCCTTCCACACGGCACACACGTCTGCACTCTGGTGACGCCCTCTGGCTCGCTGGAGCTGGAGCCGTGGAGGTTCACCCAGTGTGTGATATGAGGGTGAGATCATTAAGGAAGAGAGAGGTGTCGTTTGGGGCAAACATCAGGCAGTGGGTGATATCATTGCTGTCAGACGGTCCTCGTAAGTCCTGGAGGAGTGTCAGCTTGATTTAGAGGGGATCATTAATCTCTTGAAGGCGGATCTGTTAGCTGGATAGGTGTTAGTTGTATGGTGTGCTCTGGGGATCCAGGTTTGAAAGGACTGGTGGTGGAGTGAGTGAAGTCGTGGCCGATGGGTATAAATTACCTGGGCATGCAGTGAAGCGGGATAGGTGAAAGCAGGAGGAGGTAGAGCAGGCGCTAACTCCGCTGGGTACAGAGGGTACGGGGCCCACACTTCAGGGCTACTGGGGTAAAGTGCAGGCACTGTGAGCTCATCTGCAAGAAAAGAATAAGGGAGAGTTAGTGGTTACCAGACAGCCGGTTTCAATTCAGAAAACAAAACACCAATAACCCCAAAGCCCCAATCAATCTCGGAAGTCAAATTCTTCTTCTTCTTTTAATAACCTGTTGGATCTGGTCTCCCAAAGTCTAAGTAAACCCACTAAAAAAACTCACTGCCACTGAGTCAATTCCAACTCATAGCGACCCTACAGGATAGAGCAGTGCCCCACAGAGTTTCCAAGGCTGTAAATCTTTACAGAAGCAGACTCTCTCATCTTTCTCCTGTACAGCAGCTTGTGGGTTCAAACCACTGACCTTCTGGTTATCAGACAAGTGCCTTAACCACTGTACCACCAGAGCTCCTGACTCTAATGTAAATACAACATTAAAAAGCAACAAGCACCCTCTGCTGCCTATCTGAAATGCCTGAGATCTCTAGCCTAGGTTCCGTCTTGGATATTCTGATGTCTTTCCAACTGTAGATTGAGAAACTAAGAAGAGTGGGGCCTTCCTGCACAAAACAACTGCGCCCCACTCCCCACCCCCAGGAGAAGAATGAGGAGAAAGAACCGGCAGGAGACAGGCCAAGAGAAGCTACTTCAGAGCCTTTCAGAGGACAATGGCTTAATAGCAGGACCCTGACGGGCCAAAAGAACTCTAAGACCTTTTGGTTTATCAACATAATTATTACTGACAAATAGAACATAATCATCAAGCATTTTCCACGTATCCTTCAGAAGCACATGGTGGAGCACTGTGACTACAGGGCATTTTAGATATTAAAAATTCAGCCTATGGAAGGAAAACCCTGAGTATCCTGATTAAAGCTAAGCTCCACAAAGATGCACACATGACCGTTGACAGTTGCTGCTGACACTGACCATATTTTTCAGGGAAAAAAAAAAAGGAGTCATGGTGCCAACTGCCTGGCCTAAATGTTTCTCATGCGGCTCTGATTCCATTCAGGTCAAGCTGCAGTCTGCCAGACTGAAGGGTAGGTGTCTGGGCCTCATGGTGTATCAGGAAGCAATCCATTAAAAATCACAGCAAACACAAGGGAGCTTCTCAGCAAAGGCAAAAACAACATGAGACAGTAGTTACAGCAATCTCAACCTGTGCTTGTATCACTTGTCAAAATCTGAAATCAAGTAGGTTTCAGATGCTACCTAGGACTGCTGAGGATGCAGGAAAAGGTGACTCAACAAAGCTGCTGCCATTCAGGACTGTCCAGAAGAAGTCTATGGTACATGTGACCAAGGCCAACAGAGTCTCTTCACCCTTTCCCCATCATCTAAGAAGCCATTCCGGGCCTGTTCCAACACCCCTCCACCACTGCCCACCCCTTTCCTGGCCCCCTAGAAACCTGACTCTAGGCTGGGATTTCAATACAGGAAGCAGGCTAGAAACAGAAATCTGCTTTGTTGGGTATGGTATGGTGATCACTCCACAGAGCAACCAGAAAGTAGCTTAGCCTGTGGGCACATGTGAATGTAGTATACAAGGTGTGGGTGAGACTTTTCGTAGCCAGGATGCATGGCATCAGCTGCTGACAGGATATGACGGATGACTGTCCATTCAGAGGGAAGGTTCTACTCATTTCCAGATAAAACAGGGGATTTCAGAAATTGGCTGGATTGTGGCTAGCTGTCAAAACCTTGCTCCCTCTACAAGGCAGTTAAAATTCCCACCTCAGGACTTGGGGATGGGAATACTGACTATTTGTATATCCAGGCTTGAAAGGAGTACAGCAGCATCATGAGCTGCTTTTATAATGACCAGGTCCACGTAACCTACGTCAAGTTTAAGGGTGTATAGGTGTTTGTAGCCCGAGGCTTAGGAAATCCCTCACAGAGGAGTTGAGGGAATGCTTACCAGGCCCTGTGTTTCCTGTCATGACGAGACCATATGATTTCCATTAGAGCAGCCCTTGTGGGAGCCCAGCTAGTGGAAACTAACTGCTGGCAGAACCAATGTCTCAGATTTTAAACAAACAACCATTCTCAGGAATGGCATGCTATTATTGTTGTTGTTGTTATTTTAGCTACCATGCTATTTTAAGACATTCTGAGTCTTTAAAAGAAAAAAAGAAGTCAAGAGAGTCTCAAGACCCATCAAGCTAATGTTTAGACCAAGAGTGTAAATGCCACCATCTGAGGAGTGTTTTGGTGCGGCCTTTCAGTGTCTGTGGTCCCGCCTCATCCTCCCGCCTAACATGAGCTAGCTAACTGGGAGAGCTTTTATTTAATCAACAGGTATTTTCTTTACGAGGTTTTAAAAATGAAATGAAAACAGTGTATGTGTTCTTTAGAATAAAACAACATGGAGACATCTGATCTCAAGGAGATAAGTAACAGAGATAAGGTGAAGTCAGGTTTCACTGGCAGTCTGACTATGATTCCTGGTCATTTCCACAGTGCCCACTGGGTTGACACTGTTGCTTAGTCAATTCACTGATTAATTTTTGCATAAAACCTTGCCCATAAGCAGTAGAGGATAGGTTTCCAAATCCCCTGCAGCCAAAGCTGCTGAGTAATAATACTATAGCTAGGAGTCAAGCAAAGGCCTAAAAGAAAAAATTACATTCTATCAATCCCTTGATATTACTGATTACTGTCCCTTTTTCCCTTGTGGAAGAATCTAGAAAAACCGTAAGTCCCCAGAGACACAGAGCTATGATGGATTGGCCGGGAGGAGGATGAACATGTAATGCGGTAAAAAGTCAATGGAGAGTTCTCCTTTGGTGAGGACGGGGAGAGGAAGGAAGGGAGCCTAAATTCAAGTAACTTGCCAGGGTTGGCTAGGGAGAGCCCAGGAAGGCAGGACACACAGGTCATGCTCATGTCTCTGCATCCCTGGGCCAGCTCTGAGCCTGGCATTTAGTGTCCAATAATGCTTGGTGAATTGAATAGTATCTAATGAAAATGTCTAAACATTGTTCACCCACTCCTTGGAAGGAAGGCTGGGCAATCTACTTCCGCAGTGATACTGCCTTGGCAACCCAAGGAGGGGTTGCTATGAGTTGGGTCTGACTCGATGGCATATAACAACAACAACAAACATTGTTCAAAGTTATACCACCATTTTCTTTAGTAAATAAACCCAGGGAAAATCCTGAGGCTCTATAGCTGAAATTTCCCAATCTTTGCTATATTTGTCACACATATGTGGGCATGCACACACACATGTATGCACATCCCCCACACACATTTGATCAAGAGGCTTAAACGAGAAAATGTGACAGAGTGGTGAATGTCAAAGTGCAAATAAAAGCAGTAGAAGATTTACCTCAAATTAATTTTCCTCAAAACCCCCTATTAATAAAAAAGATAGCTATTTTGATTGAATCAGTGGTAAGTAGGGATGGCTGGAATCTCTCAACCCCTGTGGTAGTCCCTGGGATACACTAGGGTTCCAGAGAACACAGTTTGAAAATTACTCTTATAACTGCTCTCTGGAACCAGTTTTAAAAGTAAGCCCCTCTTCAAAATTTCTTGTCAGAGGAAGGGAGGGGCAACAGTAGCCAGAGCAGTTGGGAAGAAACAAAGAACAATGGAACAACCGGGGTGGAACAGAACAGGCTCTCTTGACGGACATGGACCTCAGTGTGCAAAAATACCGTGGAGTGCGGTGGCGTCTTTGAGGAACCTTACAATAAAGGGCTATATGCAGAAAAATTTTACTCAGGAAATAGAACAGGTAACATCATAAGAATACAAACCAACCAACTGGAGATAATTATTCCTTCCTTTCTGTTCCTACAGCCCACGGCACTGTCATTTGAGCCAGTGCTCCTCAAAGTGTGGTACCCTGACCAGCAGCATCAATATCACCTGACAGAGCTGGTGAGAAATGCAAATTCTTGGCTCCACGCCAGATCTACACAATCAGCAACTCTGCTGGTGTAATCATCTGTGTTTGAACAAGTCCTCCAGGTGATTCTGATGTACATTCAAGTTTGAGAACAATTTCTGTTAAGTTTTTTTGTCTTGTATTTGTCTCCTGCTATATTATTAGTCCTTTGAGCAAAGTGTAGGAGCTCTGGTAGCACAGTGCCTAAGGCATCTGACTGCTAACCAGAATGTTGGTGGTTCAAACCCAACAGCCACTCCGTGGAAACAAGACTGGGCAATCTAATTTCATAAAGATTTATCACCTTGGAAACCCAATGAGGGTCACTATGAGTCGGAATCCACTCGATGGCAATGGGTTTGGTTTGGTTTTGAGCAAAGTGTTACTGTGTGTTTTCACTTCCGAAGAGCTCAGCAAACAAATGCATTAAACATTCAAGAAGAGAAAATGAAACTGAAAGCAATGATCCTAGACTTACTTTGTGAGAGAAAGTAGGAGAGCCAAAGTAGACCCAGCCTCACATTCCCTGCCTGGCCCAGGGTCATGTTTACCAGTCCTTGGAGTTAAGAGCTAGAGGCACAATGGGGCAGCCTGATCAGGTCTGGGTCACATGTGCAGTAGAACAGTCTCACAGACACCTGTATTTCAGTACAAGGCTGAAGACTCCCCTAAAACCCAAACATACTCCTTTAATGGAAGATGGCACGAGGCAGAATGAACTTTCTGTAGATATTTTGGGTTGGCAATGTCTTAAGACAATTGGAAAAGCTAAAGATAAAGGTTTTCGGCAGAACAAACTGCTCAATGGGACTATCCAAATGAAGGAGTCAGTGGCAGGTGAGCGGCACAGTTCTGATGGGTTTCACAGTCCCGAGTCACTGCCAATCCCCCTCAAATGTTATAGGATGGGAAGGTTGAAAAAAGTGAAGAGATATTTGGTTGCCCAAGGCGGACTGGGATGAACTGGAGTTCAAGGAGGGGTTAAGACTCTGGACAAAAGAGACTCTTGACCATCCAAGTCAGCAATGTCCCAGTGAGCAGAAGGAGGCAGATAACAGGCCAGGGCTGTTTTATCTGGTGGCACAGTGGTTAAAGCTTTTGGCTGCTAACCAAAAGGTTGGTAGTTCAAACCCCCCAGCTATGAA